ATATTGAGATATTTTTGGAAAAAGCATAAAATAGTAAACACTAAATCTTGTCTCTCTGGGGCTCTTGTAACGGAGGCCTGTATGTGTTTAGTTTCTGAGGGATGATGAGACTGAGCAGAGACCTTCGGCCATATAAACAAAACCCCTCAGAAGAGAAAATGCCAGGGTGCCCCAGACCCCCCTAACAAGGAATCTGACTTGACAAGAAACAGACACAGGTCCAAACCTTGGCCTCTAGGCCTCTCTGCATTCTTCACCATCCAACAGAACATAAAGTGGGGCGGAAATATTGACATTTTTCCTGTAATGCACCACAAATTAACGACACTCTTTCAATTACAGATTACCTCATTTTTTGTGTAGTTAATTTGGGGTGCGGGTCAAAGTATTGTATGTTAAAAAAATCATAGTACAGTATGATAAAAATGTCATAGTTCAGTGTGATAAAAAATCAAAGTATAATATGATAAAAATAACATAGTATAGTATGATAGAAATGTCATGGTTTAGTGTATTAAAAAAGTTCATTGTATAATATGATTAAAAATATCATATATATAATATAGTATTTGCACTGCAAATTAACTACACAAAAAATAAGGTAATCTGTAATTTAAAGACTCACATGATAGACCAGGACATTATACTGATTTGTTTGGATTTTTATCAAATTCTGATAAAATATCAACACATTGAGCTTTAGCTACATGTAACAAGCAGGTTCTTCCCATTTTGAAAGGTCGTAACATTGTTAGTGGCCTCTCGAATTCGTACAAACTGTTCATTATAAATTCAGAATCAGTTGACTGTGCCAAAACTTCACTGTCCTTTTTACTCCACTCAATTATAACCTGGTATTTTACCAAGACTCCTCATAAATTTACCCATAATGCTCAGTTACCAAACACGAGTTCTGCTCAGACGGTGAAAAGAGGTGCCTGGATAGAGCTCTCTGTCTTTACAAAATCAATCCTGTAATGTTCATCATGAAGCCTAAAAATCTAAACATGAAAAATTCAGGTCTGGAAATGAAAAATTTCAAGTTTGTTTTTATTGGACTTTGAATTAAATGAATGTAAAACTTAACTAAAAGAGGGTGATATTGATTTGTTTTATAGAGATAGTATTAGGATCGATAAATCAGCGCCTTCTTTGATTTAATCTTATTTATATATTTCTTTTCCTTTCCTCCTAAATACCATGCAAGACAAAGCTGGCAGTAACTTTTGAGTTCATTTTACTAATTGCTTGGTGCTTCAATCTTCATCGATCATGAATCTGTTTGGATGGCCTTTAAAATCCAGCAGCCAAAATCCAATAAACATGAATTCAAGAGAAAACGAGGGTGATGTTTTGGGGCTCAAATCACATGATTTCATTTCACAGAAATGACCAACTTTTTTGGAAAAAAAAAAAGTTTATTATAACTTTTCTTGAAGATGTCAATGCAAAAGATGACAACTTTTATAAATCAGACTTTTCATAAAAAAACATTTTCGCAGTGTGACATCATGCACGTCCTTCACCAACATGGACTGACCCTCTGAAGAGTCAGCCCGGGGTCAAACAATCAGCTAAAGTGGCTTTTCATCCTCCAAGGTCAGATATGGAGAAAAAAAATGAAGAAGTGAAAGTAAGAGAAGCAGATGAAAGAGTCAAGTTGAAACTTTAATAACTTCAGAAAGCTCTCACTGCAGGTCTTTCATGAGGATTAACTCTTTGTTCTCCAAATACTCACAGATCAATAACTGAAAGGCCCAGACATCTTCATTCACAGGCAGCAGCAGCTCAGATGTAGCCGAACAAAAGTAACAAACAGAGCCCCCTATCTGCCTGCTCGGCATGTTTCAAGGCGCTGAGATGTTCCTGTCTCCTCTCCCTAATCCAGCTATACATCAGGAAAACCTTACATGGTGTTTTTCTGCATGTGTGTGTGTGTGCGTTGTAGGGGTGTTCCAACAAGAGGACCTCACGATTCAATTCAGTTTCGTTTATTGGTCCAACGATTCTTCGATTATTGCCATTTTTTATGCTTTTTCCTATACAAGATTGATTTTGTCTTCATCTGTGGCTACATTTGTAAATAAATAGCCTATCAATTTACTCAGTTCACTCAATAAGTAAATAAGGTTTTTTGAACATTTGACTTGCATTTTTCAAAGACAACTATTTTATATTTCGACTATATGACTGTTGTGTTAACATTTGCACTTTGGCCTGCTTATCTTAAACTGGGATGTTTGGAGTTGGTGAGGTATTTTATTTTTGCTTTACAAATCTTGCAAATCGCGTAGGTCTTGACAGTCATCTTGTTTGCTCTCTCATAAAACCCAAAGTACTTCCACACGGTTGTAGTCAACCCCAGTGGCGAGAGAATCGACGCTCTGTGGAGGCTGCTGAAGCTGTTTTCATTTTGCAAAGAAACTAATGTGTTCTGTTTGTTGTGGTCCCACTCACTAAACAGTTTGGGCGGTGCACGGGTTAAGGTTCTGATTACGTGTTTTTTTTTTTTTTTTGTTCCGGCCTTGCGGCAAAGCATTGACCTTACTCTTTATTCATTTTAAGCATTGATGTTAATTAATTGATGCCGAATCGTCACATGAGGCATTGTGATGCATCGACACATCTGTGAATTGCACCCACCTCTAGTGCGCTATGACGTGCAGTATTGGATGGGCAGGGATTTTAACACTTGGTAGATTAAAAGCAAGAATAGACACACAAATAAAACACATAAGTTAATGCATACTGCAGGAGTCAAGGGTGAGGAGTGGAGTATAACAATGGGAGAGTGCACTAAACATGTGTTGGCCTACCTAATCCTGAGGCTTCACTCTCACATCCCAGCTTCTTCAGGCTAATCCGTCTGTTAACAAACAACAACACATCCAATTATTAGATTTATTAGGGAAGAAGAGAAACCACACGTGAGGGGGAAAAAAACAACATTTTCCTCTTAAAAATACGTGTCCTCATTCCTTTCTCTCCCGATGGTGGACTCCCACAGTCCTTGGGCCTTTGTGTCTGTCTCCTCTTTATGAATAGAGGCTTAACCATGGCCTGAAGCAATGCGTCTTCTGCTCTCTCATTGATAGCCAATGCATAATTCATTTATTTTCATCATATCATCAGATGTGCATAAGCCTCTCTTGGTTATTTTTGGGGGTGCAGCATTTGTTGTTATTTCCCCTCCTTTACTTCTCGGGGTCTTCAAGAACATATTCACATGTTTCAATCGTTCGTGACCTCTCGACCTTATCAAGACCCCAGCAGAGATGAAAGTGAGTCTTCCTTATTATTGATTATAAGACGGATTAGCTCCCAGGGAAAGTTAAGGTTAGCTCCCCAAGGCTGATGGAGAAGAAAATGGACCTACCCTTTTTTGTTCAGAGTGTCCCTGCACGCTACACTCTAACGCTGCAAGGAAGTCGACAAAGGAAATACGACTCAAACGATAAATTTACTTTTAATGCTCTGATTTTAATTTTGTTTTTTAAATTCATGCACAGCAGGTACGGGATATAAAAAAAAGCTCTTTTCTGTCCTCAGCAGACAAAACACAGGAGTAGACCAATAGGTAGGATGAGGAACAAAGAGTTTGAAACTTTATATCCTGTGTCCACAGCCCTGTGTGTAAGTCAGCGCTCTGGACCAATTACCCAGCGCTCTTTCCCCTACCTTTCTTTACTCCCAATGAAAGACAAACAAAACCCCAAAAGCAGCTGGCTTGCTCGCTGCCCCTGTATGAAAGCACTGCTTTTCTCTCGACCCTCTCTCCTCATCCTGTGCCCACAAGTCTCAAGTCTTGACCATACATTATCTTTCAGGCTCAATGCTCCTCTCCCACCTCTTCTTTTTCCCTCTCCTCTCCTTTTCTCTACCTCTGCGAGAATAAAGAGCTCCTAATGACCGCGGGCTCTCAAGGGCCTGCTGGTGCCCGGGTACTCGAAAGTGCGGCACAGTGGAAAGGGAGGGGAGCACCTCCTCCTCCTCTTCCTCCTCTTTTATCACAGGTGAGAATAGAGGGTCAAGAGGGGTTAATGTGCTGCTGTTGCACAGAGGTTTGGGCTATCACCATGGCAGCAGGCATGTCAAATACCAAGGTGTGTTTCCTTCCTTCGAAAGAAAAGGTTTGTTTAGGACTTGTTTTTTTGGCCTTTGGGTTCAAATTCATTTTCAAATTGTAGGTTGAAAAGGTTTCACTCCGACACTTCAAAGTAAGCTGAAGGTGAAAAGATGATGTTTGACTGCTGTGGAGGCACCATTCAGGAAACTTTGGAGGGTCCAAAAAACCCAGCAGTTTGACACCACATCACACCAAAGATCCAAAAGTTCCTCTGTCCGTACCGGCACATTTAAATCTTCTGCATTCATGTAAATAAAAGTGAAGTAGTGCTAGTGGTGCGTGTACTCAAGGGAGGAAAACAACTGTACATGTAACAGGAGGTTCACACAAACACACTGGACATGAAGGAAAAAGGCTTTTCTGGACAGGCACGGCGCGGATACACTTGGCTTTAATGTAGGGAGATTGTTTTGCATGGCTCAGACCTGAGAAAATTAATCATGAAAACCCTGCAAGGCTCCATGTGCTAATTTAAATTCCCTCCAAAATAAATTAGCTCGCTGCTTTATTCTTTCTCCCTCAAACTTGAAACAAATGCGGGCAAATCTCAAATAATTAATTTCAAAGGGTGAGAATTAAAGAACGTTTCCATGTAACCATTGCGATGTTATTTGCATTTTGATTTCTGCGATTTCTGCACTTTTTTTTTTTTATTTATTATGATTCTCTCGCCCTCTCAAGGTTCTCACTTTAATATCACCGTGGATCAAAAGGCTTTCATTAAGGTTTTCTGCACTCCTTCCAGCATTGTTTGGCTCCTAGGATAACAACAAAGTGCTTTCCCCTACTCCAGGGCCAGGTTAGCCGAGAAGAAAGGAACGGTTATTCCTGGGCTAAGTTCACATCAAACACAAGGGGCTCCAAGTGAGAGAAGATGAAAGCGCCAAGCCTGACCCGGAAGATTAGACCAACACTGCTGCCAGCTCTGCAGCACCCAGGGGCCATTCTCACTCCGGGATCCTACCCCTCCTCTTCATTCGGCACAATGGACTTTAGCACAGAGCAAGCCTTCAAGAAGAGGGGAGTAAAATATGAGGCGAGAAAGAAGGAGATGAGGGACACAGAAACAACAATACAAAGAAAGAAAAGAAAGAAAAATGTGGTTCAATTTGAGGAGTGCAAAACTGCAGACTATCCCAACCTACTTTTCTCGCCTCTACTGCTGCTGCTGCTGCTGCTTCCTGTGACAGATAGTGGTGAGGCTCAGAATAATGCAGATTATCATAATTGCTTCAAGTGTGTGTGAATATTCATGATTTCTGCAGCCTTATTATAGCAACAAATCCGCACTGCAATGAATGTAAATGCATTGTGATTATTTTACATGGCGCAATGCCCCCAATCCTTCCCCTCTGCATGTGTGGGTGTGCATGTGTGTTTGTGTATGTGTGTGTGTGTGTGTGCATGGACTGCAGCTGCAGGTGTCAAGGTTGGGCGCACTCTCTGACTAACCCTCATCAGCTGGCCGAGCTGTTGCCATGCATCACAGAGAGAAAAATTGGGATGTGATGCATGAGGTTGCAAGATGAAGGACGGTAAGACATGGAAAAATTCAAAAATGTGATTAATCCGAAAGTAGAAGAGTGAAAAAAGAGAGTCGAGGTCCTTCACGCACTTCCTCAAAAGTTCAGCATTTGGAGCGAGTGAAAGTAAAACCTGAGAACAGGACGTTGTGGTGTCGATATCAGGGGCATGAAGGAGTGCAGTTGAGGCACACGGGACACAAAAGGCATAAAGTGGTAACCTCAAGACCCCCTATTCTCCGAAGGACACACACACATATACACACACACTTACACACACAGGCCCCCTCCTGCCCCCATGCCCATGCCTCTGAGGTGCCAGATGGCACAGGACAAACCCTCCTCAGGGGAAAACAGCGTGGTGACCCCTCCCACTCTCACCCATACTTTCTCACACATTGAAGACAAATAGAAGCAGAGATGTGGAGGGGGGGGTGGGGTTATCACTGATGCCCATCAAAGCATCCTCTCTCACACACACACACACACACACACACACACACACACACACACACACACACACACAAGCTTGGCACTGACTACCTCCTGAGATACAGTGATATGGAGGCATGCCTTGACATACACACAAGAATCTGAATAGCCCTTCAGAAATGTGGCCGTCCTGTGGGTTCTGCCGCAGCGGCTCACGGACAGTGCCCGACATCAAACATTAGCCGCCTTTATGTTGTCTGCGATCCGTGCCCCGCTTATCTGAAGATGCTATCTCACCTCCGCCTGCATGGTGCACGGTGACCCGCCTCCCTCAGACCTCTCGGCTATAGGACCTGTGAGCCCTGTCCAAAAGCTCCCACAAGGTGTGGCAGTGCTGGGAGAGGTGAGCGGTTCAGGAATGAATGTGGGTGAAACGAGAGGAACTGAAGCGTGGTGTTGCTGGTGGTGGAGGCCTTATTAATCACAGCACCTCCACAGCATAAGTCAAGATATAAATGTGCGTATCTTCATTATTTTCAACTAGGGCTGGGTGATATGGCTTCAAATCAGTATCACAAGATATTGAGCTGTTCACCTCGATAACGATAAATGGACGATAACTACTCCACAAGCTGCTCAATCCCTCCCACATTAACTTCGTCTACTTCAGCCGCTACAACTTTTGAAGCGTCCTCCACCTGCTCACCTGTCTTTCCCTCTTTGGATGGGGTGGAGTCACGTCTCTGATGTAGGACAGCATCTTAAAGGGACAAGGGACCACAGCCTACCTACACACATCCAAAACCAACTTTTATCTATTTATTTTTTCAGACAGAATATATCGACATGAGCAAAATGGCGTCAGTTATTGACGTAAATTTCGGTATCGGTAAATTTTCAGTTTATTGCCCAGCCCTAATTTGCATTTAAATCATTCATTAGTTGTTTGGTCTTTAATTTTCTCAACCACTACTTTCAGTTTTCTTTTTTTGTAAATAATGACATTGATTGCAAATACCTAGAAATACAATAAGTACAGTTGCAATAGCATGAGTTATGGTTGCATTGTATTAAACAAATTGGATTGTATTGATACAAACATTTAAGAACGATACATCATGATATGCGTTCAAAATTGCATTCACTCTGACCCGGGATTTCCACTGCATCCGGAACGGCTCTGGTCCAGATGCAGTGGCGCTTTTTGCCCTACGCCAATTTCTTCTGGGTCCATTTGTGATTCGAATTGCGTGGCGGATTAGGGACAGCAGGAATTACGAAAACTCACAAGAACCTGCAGATTCAAGTGCAATCACGCGATAACAAGTTGTCTTTAGCCACATAGGCTAACCATATAATGAACCATAAGGAGGGCAGTGTTGCTGCTAACACTACCCGATATGCATCTCTAGAGAGAAACGAAGAAGACAATGGCGGGGCTTTTTGAGGATCGTCATCAATTTCTCACATTGGTACCAAAAGAATTCTCCGTCCTCCAACTGTGAGGCATATAACAGCCTGACCGACCACCTCCTCCTCCTCCAACGCTGCTTCAGTTTCTGTCTCTTATGTAAAATATACATTATCACCAGCTCCTCCACAGTCGCCATGTTTGTTTTTGTTTGTTGTGGGTGTAATGGATGTAAAGGTGGATGTAATGGTTAACATAAAGGACGCATAGAAGTCTGTGGGCAGTGACGGAACCATCGTTTAAAACGGACGCGTCGATTTCCATACATATGGCGAACATAAATGAGCCTTTACCTCATGAGAACAGACAGACATGCACCTTCAGGTATAAGACAGGCTGTTTATTATGTAGCTGGTTTACTGGCAAGGTTAAATTTGAACAGCAACAGCCTCTTCAATGATATTTGGCAGTAGTTGGATCCGAAATGTCTTTGTCTTTCCAGCATGGCTAAAGAGTGACCTATTTGGTTTCGTCTCGCTCCTCTCCTCTTGTCCGTTTGGAGGAAAAGACTGCTCTGGGAGGACAAGCTGAGCCGTCCCAACGGGCTCTACCACTTATCACCAGCCTTCTGAGATTCCACCAAGATTCACCCCCTTATGAATAAACTCACCCACAGGCACAATTGAGGACTAGAAGGGAGAAGGGGGGGGGGGGGGGGGAAAGCGACAAATTATTTAGAAAGACACAGGGAGGGTTAGGGATAGTTTGAGGGAGGATGTGAAGAAAAAGGGGAGAGGAAAAGAGCAAGAGTGGAGAGATGCGGGATGGAGAGAATAAAGGGAGGGGGGAAGGAGGAGGGATGCAGGGGACGGAGGGAGGCGAGAAAGCGAAGGGAGAGGAAGTCTTTTGATGTGTTTCTCTCTGCAGAGCGGGCATCAGGGCGGATGGTGGATCCAAAAGCTGGCCTCGCAGCTTGAAGGGACTGACTGGTTTATTAAACACTCCCACCGCCCCCATGCCTCCGAGCATGATGGGATTAATGCTGGCATAACCCTTTACTTAATTCATTACAGGGGGACGCTGGCTAATTTGATTTGATATTATTTTAATAAAGTTCTGTGATGATTTGGAAGATTGTTTCAGGCTATCAGAAATAATTTTCCAGTTATTACCGCCGTTCAGGCAAGTCCTTTGATAGCGGCAGTCAGTCTTGGTGTGTGCAGAATACATTAGCCGTAAGTGCAAGTGCTTTAGCTACAAAGCTACAGAAGAAATACTAATAATGAGAGCGCTCTGAAATGCTGAGTGTCGTGAAATGATGCTATGTGCTGTGGGCAGGAGCCGTGCAAGACAAACATGACAGTAGAAGAGGAAGAAAAAAGAGAGAGAGAGGGAGACGGAGCAGAGGAGAGATATTTTGTATGCATTGAGCTTACACATGTCACCATTGTTAAATCTCCTAGGGATACATGGTTGCCTTTCAGAGGAGCACCAGTGCTTTGTGTTATTCATGTGGTTATTGAAGAGTCGACTGCTAGCGTGGGTGTCTCAGAACAAAAAGATGGACCATTTTCTTTTTTCACGGCTGTGGTTTTGTTTGTCGTCGCACAAATGATCAGATGAGAAGCATAAAAATGAAATGATACAGAGTTTTCCTTTTAGAAATAAGTCTTATATTTATTTCCTTTTTGGTGCGTTTTTCTACGTCTTTACATTTTTCATCTGTTATTTGCAAAGTTTATACCGCACTTTTGTTGTGAAATTAGGTTGGGAATTTGCCTCACTAATATATTAGCCCCTTGTGTGCGAGAATAATCCTGTTTTCCATCCAGCCTTTTGTCCATCTCATGTCATGAGCCGTTGCCAGTTGCATAAAATCCCACCACTGTCTCCTCACCTATTAACATATTCCTTAAGATAATCAGAGACACGGTGGATGTCTCACACTATTTCCTTAAGCCTGCTTCCAGACCTCGCAAGTTCTAGGAGCGAGGAGAAAGTGAAGGGGACCGGGGGGGTCGAACTGTACGGTAGTGACAATGTTTTTGTTTTGGTTTTCCCTTAAACCCCAAATGACACACATTTCCCTCTGAAAAGATAAGCCCTCAGTCAAAGGCCGCGGGAGATGTCTGGGACCCTGTGAAAGAAGTGGGAGAATTACCTACCAGGGGTCTGGCATGAACGGAGGAGGGGTGGAGAAAGAGTTGTGGTTGGGGGGGTGGGGTTACCCTTATTCATTAGTCCGTCTGGGGTCCAAGGCGGGGTCACACAATGTGACGGTTGTTCTCCAGACCCCCAGACCCCAGCAGACACTTTTAATGGCCACCGTTTCCTCTCCAGACAGAGAGAGAGAGAGGGAGGGGGGGGGGCAGAGGTTGCCGTGAAGGTGATGGAGGGGGACGGACTTTGAGAGAGTGAAGAAGAGCGGGATGAAGCAAAAGTTTAAGAGAAACAAAAAGAAGAAAAAAGAGAAATATCCAAGAAAATGAAAGAAGGGGCAGAGTTTGATGAACCGTCGCCCAGAGAGCAAAGGCCGTTTTTTTGGGTCCTTGAGATTCTCCCTCGGAGCGTGTTCGAACCTGCAGCTGAGAGAAACAGCAGAGCATTCCAGCGCTGGATACCTCCCTCCTCTATGTTTTTTCACAAGCTCAGAGGTTCTCGGGTCACAATTTGGAACAATTATTGGGGTCAGGGTTCATGGTTAGTGCGGGTAAGTGGAATCACACTAATGTTAAACTTCATGGCCCACAACAAACGTTTAAAAAAAAAGTCACTTTACGGCAGCTGGTTTCCACTTTACATAAATACTTCAACAACACTCGACACAACAAGCATTAAAATCCAATTAAAACTTTGATTTAAGGATCCTGATTGTTACTT